AAACGCGTGTTCCAATAAATAGATAGAATTTACTTATCCCATTTGTCTTTTAAATTATTTTAATAGAGAATTGTTAAAAGTACCCATGACCTACAGCTAATTCGCTACTTTTATGCAACACTCCCTCCCTTATACTCTCCCTGCACTCAGAATCTTCCATCTCCTCCCCCCCCCTACGGTTTCCGCGATTACCCGCCCAACCGATGCACCACAGCTCACCTGTACCTGAAGCATAGAAACAATATCCACAGCCTGACTTAGCCTTAGCTTTTCCCTACCCTCCCACTTTTCCCTATAATTTTCCTACAAATGCCACTCTTATACATCTTAACGTAATACCACTTGCTCGCTTTTCTTATAAATATAATGCTTTACCTAAGTTGATCACCATAGTGTAAAAAGATAACGCTATAGCAAGACTTCACTTAAATACTCGCCCTACATTTCAAATCCTGAATATTTATAGATTTCAAAGCGAGAAAACTTAAAATGATGGGGGAAAAAGTAGTTCGTCTTCAATATGCAAAAATATCAAATTTAGAATTAATGCACGCTAGTATATATATATATATATATATATATATATATATATATATATATATATATATATATATATATATATATATATATATATATATACACTAGCATGCATTAATTCTACATTTGATATTTTTGCATATTGAAGACGAGCTACTTTTTATATATAACTTTTATTTATATATATAAAGCAATGTGTGCATGTGTGTGTGTCTGTTTTTCTGTCTTTTATGCTTTACTACACCTCTCATCACATCGCCACGAAACTTTCTGAAGCTGTTGAGAATATTCCTGGGGAGGTTTCTGCGAAAAAAAAAATCAATTTGTTTTTTCTCTATATACGGTATATACAAATTTAAAAAAAAAAAACGAGCTTGGTTGACACCGTTCAATCGATCGCCATCAAACTTTAGGGAGTTGATTAGAACACTCCAGGAAAGGGTTCTGTAATTTCGCAAGGGCGGCGCCCCGGGAGGGTACGATTTTTCTTTATATACGGTATATTAAAATAAAAATCGAATGCGGTTTGACATCGTTTATCCGATCGCCATAATAAAACTTTGTGGAGGCGAGGTTTCTGCAAAAATTCTTTTTTTTTTAAATTTGCAAGGGCGGCACCACGGGAGGTTGCGATTTTTCTCTATATACGGTATATATTTAATAAAGCTGTCTGGGGTTGGCGTGGTCGGCAAAAGCTCATGGTCGCTAAACGAAAAAGTCTCGAGTTCGAACCCTCGGGCAGATAAGGCTCGTTAGTTGAGAACAGCCACTCTTCTATGAGAGACAACTCCAAAATAAAAATAAAACTGCTGCGTTTTTGTTTGTTCTTGATTGGACAAAGGCTATGGAAGCAAATCCAAAAAGAAAAGCAGTCTGAAATCGGAGTCAATGACCTCAATGGCGCATAATCAGTTTACAAGTATCCTTAATTGTGGTCGAGCCGGCAAAAGTGCATGGTTGATAAATTCGAAAATTCGAGTTCAAACCCTCTGGCAGATAAGGCTCGATCCCATCCAAAACTAAAAATTAAGAACGAAGAAGAAGAACATTGCTGGTTGACACCGTTCACCCGATTGGGAGTGGATAAGAACACTCCAGGTGAGATTTCTGTAAAAAAAAATTTCTTTTTGTTTAATTTCGCAAGGGCGGCGCCACGGGAGGGTGCGATTTTTCTCTCTATACGGTATATAAAAATAAAAGTCGATTGCGGCTTGACACCGTTCATCCGATCGCCATCAAGCTTTGGGTAGTTGTTAAGGATACTCCTGGGGAGATTTTTGCGGGGGTAAAATGCAAATTCGAAGGGGTGGCGCCCCGGTATGGCGCGATTTGTTTTTTCTCAATGCACTGTACATGTGTACATAAAAATAAAAATTGATTGTGGTTTGAGACCATTAATCCGATCGCTATCAAACTTTGGGGAGTTGATTAGGACACTCCAAGAGAGGTTTCCGTAAAAAAATCTTTTTAATTTCGCAAGGGCGGCACCCCGGAATGGTGCCCTTTACTCTATATACGATATATAAAAATAAAAGTCCATTGCGATTCGACTCCGATTATTTGAGTGCCATAAAACTTTAGGGGGGGGGGATTTAACTTCGCACATGAGGCCCCCGGCAGGATGCAATTTGGTGTTTTGGTCTTTCCGTGAATGCTATGGCGACTACGTTCGTTCTAAATAGTGTGAAAGCAATTTGGCTGCGAACAAAAATTTCAGTTTCGGCCCCCAAATGTTAACATATGCTGCTGTGTGCTCTGTGATACATTTTTTTAAATAATCACAAAAATTAACCATTGTTAGATTATTAACTGGGTTGTTTCCTTTAGTCAGTAAAAAAATCCAAACAGTTTCGTCACTTAGCGAATGATGCCATTAGCATCTATTTTTAGACGATCCAATCAGAAATTGAGATCGAGCTTCTAATAATACACCATTAGTAACGCTAGCAACACGACAAATAAAGTGTTTTTTCTACGTGAAAAAAATCATTTTGATTTGTGTAACTTTAGCGAATGACGCAATCTGCATCCTTGTTTCAGAATGCTATGTGGCGCTCTGGGTTATCCTGTGAGCACTATGGCGCCTATGTTAGTTTTAAGTAGCCAGGGACCGTACGCTACGCCTCTGCGGTAGACGATCTCTGACAGCATTGTACTGGGCAAGTAATAAAATTGAATACAAAGGCATGTTCGCGAACTACAGGACCGTAACAGTTTACGACACTCTAAACTTTCTGTAACTGACCGGGGCGGGACAATAGGATGCGGGGCCGGGAATAGCAACAGGTAACCTACGGGGAAGACGACTGACACTTTTACAGCTAGGATATGACCTTCAGGAACATTCTAAGAATCTAGGGGTAGCATATATATACGGACACAACGAAACACGACCGGTCACTACGACCAGAAAACACAGAGACGGTACATTAGACTTCGGTGCTGGTGCGTAAGCATAAACCCAAACCAAGTTGAAGATAATAGAACGAGCGTGTTTGCTGTAACAAGACTTCGGGGTGAGTGAGATTGTAGCCCACTTAGCTGTCGTTGTTAGTTTATACGAGGTGAATGTTGTGTATGATTTGTGAGTGTTGTCTTAAAGTACATTGTTAGTTGATACATTGTGAATGTTGTGTACGAATGTACGATGGTATGTTAATAGGATATTGTAGTGTAAGAATAGCTTGTGATGATTAACCTTTTCTTGTGTCGATTTATTTACAGACTGTGGAGGTCTATTGGGTTTTTTGTGTTTTAGTTTTTGGCTTGTAAATAAAATCATCGAACCTACATTGTGTATCAATATAAACCCTGCTACTATGCAAAAAGTGTATGGGCCGCTTCTAACCTATTTTTGTTGTCGATACATTTGAATAAATGCATAAAACAACTTCTTATCCGCCTGTAGGGTTAGGGTTAAAGATACCACAATACAGATCTTTTTCAAGCAAATTATTAATAGCATGTTTCACCCTTTTCAATCAAAGCTAAAAGTACAAATAAACCCCACATACTCACAAACAACGTGATGGAACAGGGCAAAAAGGACTAAATAATCGAATTATAAACATAAATCCTTATCAAAGATTATAGGAATGTTTCTTTTACGTTTAATAATTGCTGATTAAAGAAAATAAACCGGTAGTGATCTCCCATAAACTTTCTCGAATATTCTTATATAAAACAACAGGGGATGGTAACTCGGGATATAGTTATGATTTTTAATCCAATTTAAATACTTAACTTTTTAAAATAGAATAGAATCTCATTAAAAAAAGAATTGCGCACCAAGCAAACGTCGAATAAAGATGTGTATAATAGTGCGGAATATTATTAGTACTTTATAAATTCACATGCGTTTTTTGAGAAATCGGAAAAAGTACTACTTCCGGTTATCGAAAATCGCTCAAAAGATGACATTTCTCTGCGATTTTAATAAAATACTTATATATCAAATTTCATCAACCTAGCTGTAACGGTACTCAAGTTATCGTGTTTACGCACACACACACACACACACAAACACACACACACACACATACGGACAAGATTGCAAAATTATGTTTTTCCCGTATCAGTGAGGTGTAAAACGTCGAGATTTGTAAAAAAAATCTCGATTTTTTTTTTTTGGTGCAAGATTACAAGACTTTCTCTATACTTCGTATATACGAGAAAGTAAAAAAAATGTTGGTTTTATTTATACTGTTCCTTAAGTAGTTTGTTGAAATAGTTAAATAAAATACTATTCTTTTTTTTTTACCAAACTTTACAACTATAACGCGCAGAAGTTATTTAACAATAATTTTAGGAGGAGTGAAATGGGTTAGTGTAATAATCAGACCTTAGTAAAACGTATGTTGTGCACATAACTGGAACTGAGACGATGGAACATACCTGTGCTAAACTTAGGTTTACAAATAAGTTAGGAAATACTTGATTTGGTGCCAGCAACATTTGGCGCTGCATGCAAAAGTATGAAATTTTCTATTCCTACAAAGCCAAGGTTTCTTCTTCGTTTCACATTAGGTACTACACAGATGAAAACACGTTTTTCGCATATATATATATATATATATATATATATATATATATATATATATATATATATATATATATATATATATATATATATATATATATATATATATATATATATATATATATATATATATGAGAATGTTTAAATTCGTTGTATTATGTTTATTACTTAGTTGTCTTCCGATCAATCTATCGTGTGTTTTACGCTTATAGGAATTTGTGTTTTCAGGGAATACTGTTTTTACGTGCCATAACGCAATCTGTAAGTTAAACTCTGATTAAATAAAGCTTGTAGTTTTACAGTGGGTTTTTTTTTTTTTTTTTTTTTTTTTTTTTTTTTTTTTTTTTTTTGAGAGCGTTGGCAATAGTTGTTAGAAGCAACATTGTTTTAAATTTAATTTCGTAATCCTTTAAAACTAAAAAAAAATCCTTTATAATGTAATAATTATATTTTTTCTCTCTTAAATATCCAATAAATCAGGTTTTGTATTTATACACTTTATAATTGTCTGTCTTTGTCGGTCTCGACCAGTCTCTGTTTTAATGTTAATCTGTTTTTAAATGTCTCTAACTAATTACCCATAGGCAATAAGTACCGTATCCACACATCTATTTCATCATTATTAAATTACTTTTTTGATAATAAATACACAATTGGTAGCTAAGAGTTATTAGCTTAAATCATATTAACTTGACAAATGAGGCAGTTTGTCAGCAGCCTATGGTAATAATGTTTAACTTATGGTAATTTGTCTTTAACTTGTTTCTAATGATACTGCCCAATTTTGTCTACGGTGTTTTACTGTTTTTTTTTATTAGTGAAAATTTTGAAGAATTACTAGACCTAAATGTTTATATTTGCTTCTACTTTATGAACTATGGCAATCTGTAAAATAAAATATTCAAATTGTATTGAATTCTTGGCCATGTTTTCAGTGTAAATTTTCCTTCAGAATTTGCACGCACTATGGGCTTTACCCTGAAGCCATTGAAAGTAAGCGATATTTATGAAGATTTGTGTAGGGGCAATTGATTTTTCTCGCTGCGGAACAGTCCGTCCCTGTGATTTCAACTTTGGCCACTCTTGTTGACTAGCTGCTTCTGTGTTGTTAATTTTCTCTCCTGATCCTTTATAGGGCTACTTGTTGGCGTGTTATTCTCGGAATCTATGCAGATACAAGATTAGTCGCAAGTTTGTATGATGTGGCATAAGAAGAATTGCATAGCTTTGTATGATATAGATAGTTTAATTGAAAGCGATTTTCGTCATAAAATGTAATAATACGGATTTTTATTTTGTGTGTAGTATAAATAAACGTGTTATCTAAATGATAACATGAACCATTGACTGCATAATGGGTTTGATCTGTGTTTGAAATGTTGGAAGTTATTTAAATTTCTTATACATCAAACAATGCAAACTGGATCGTGGATGTAACATGGGGCACGGACCTTGGAGTCCGAGTTTGGAATCTAAGTCCTCTATGACCGATGTTACTACCATAAAAATGGCTGCTATGTATAAAAAGTTCAAGAAAATGGTCATCCCTCGACGTAGAAGGAAACCTGTTGTCAGGTATGATCAATTATTTTACTAGCACATAAAAATGTAGCTATTATAGTTACTAATTATAGTTGATAAAACAGCTATTAGACTAAATAAGTTAAACGTCTTTGTATGAATTAGCTAATTACAAAAAATAGATGTTTGCTGGTGACAAAAAAATTTAACTAGTTATTTTTAAAAGATGGAATGTATTATTCCTGTTTATTAAATCAATACAAATAGAGTTTTTTTTCAAGCAGAGCAGTTGAAACAATTGAAGATAATTATAAGTCTAAGTCACTTTGATTCTCTATTCTCCTGATATCAATCATATTTGCTTCACTGGCATGAAGATTTTGCTAAACATTCTTTTTTTTTACTTCGACCGTTGGGCTAATTCTTTTCCTTGGCACATAGATCTAACTATCTTGCTTAGCCCTCAAAATGAGTATATTTTCAGTTCGGCGTTCAAAATTAAGATCGAAGCTGACTAATGAATAATCGAGGTTTGGTTTCGGTACAGACATACATTTAGAAAATCATCCTTTTAAATGAGAGAGTCAATATATAAAACAAGTTCTTTTAAGCATGTTAAAAGCATGACGGAAATACCTGCTGCCGGATCCCGCAATGCGGGGTTGCCGCAATGCTGTGTAAGATGATGCCGTTTAGGGGCCTACAGCCGACCATAAATACAATTTTAAAAATTCTTATTTAATTTTGTATATCTTTGCCTTTATAGTGATTATATAAACACATATACTATAGATATGGTTGAATTACACTTATTCAAGAGTCACCAACCCACGCTGCTGCTTCTACTTTATGAACTATAAAGAAACTATAAAGAAAAAACCACCACACTAACGGTATCGTAAATGAAGCGGGAGTGATCTCCCCTATAATTTCTGGAATATTCTTAACAGTTTGTTGGAAATGAGTCATCCATTTATGACGTCCACAAAAATTTTGAATTTTAGATCACCTTCCTTAGCTCGTCCACACGCGTCCACTTTGCTACATTATTTTTGCTAATGTAATGTAGGATATAATATTTTCGGTAACAAATATTACTAGGCCTAAATATAACAATATTAAAAGTTGAGGTTAGAAAGTGTTGAAAAATAATAAGTATGTTTCAAGCGATTCAGTATAAATTAGGCCCTATGTTATTAGCGCTTGCTTTATTTAAATGTTTTTGTAAATGGCAAACAAAAACTGCAAAATATTAAACATTTGATTTTGTATTTAATAGTATTTTTCTGCCTTATATTATAAACCCTATTTTTTAATTGAAGATGCTGTGGACCAAACACTTTACTCAACTTTAGGCTACACGTATTTCCATAACGTACCACCTCTCTTTCCCCCTTTTTTATCGAACTCCCGCTGACCGTGAGCTCTAAACACCTGACCAAGCGAGCACATTATACACGCAGTTATTTAAATATCTAATTGGAAAGTGGTTATTTTGAGATTTTTTACTTGAAAAAAAAATATTCATCTGCATCGTCTTAGGCTTTGACACTAATTAATGATTTAGACTACGATTTAGTTACGTGATCGGAGTCTAGAACTTATTGTTTTTAAACGTATGTTTTAATTGTTGAAATGTTTAAAATACCGTAAATTAAATAATTGCCCCGGTCACTGCCCCCTCTCCCCTCCCGATTGCAAAAAAAACAAAATATCCAGCTTTTGTTCTTAAGCGGGCGGTATACAGATAAATTTCTGATACGTGTATTCACCCGTTGTGCAGCGGATATTCAACACATGTATAACCTATATTTCATGTGCAGTTTTATTTTTAAAAATATAAGTATTTTGTAGACGTCCACAATGACTTTGAACGTGGAAGTCGTAAATGGATGACCCCAAACTCCCATGTAATCAGGATATGGACATCTTTTTTAAATCAATTTTTAAAATACGTAAGTTTTTTAAACAGGATAGAATAGCATAAAAATTAATTCGGCATCAAATGAACAGTTCTTTGAAAGAAAACCTTGATTAATTTTCATTTAATTAAGTAGTATTTTATTTCACAATACACTGTCTTCGAGTCTTAACCTACGTGAAAAGTTTAAAATGACTCGGTCCGGTAGAAAAGTTAAAAACTTTCTTCGCAAGTTTCCCACCATGACGGACATAAGAAAAACAGAAAAATAGTTTTTAAAAAAAAATTCGTATGCGTTTCTTGAGGAATCGGAAATAGCGTCAAGTACTACTTCCCGTCACAGGAAATTACTCAAAATTTAACAGAAAACAGCGAGTTAGATCTTTTACTTATATGTGAAATTTCGTCTATCTAACTGAAACAGTACCCAAGTTTTTGAAAAACAGTAAGTAGAATAATTTCCACTTCCGTTTTCCGAATATCGCTGAAATGTTGATACAGAACTACAAATTCGATATAATACTTACATTTAAAATTTCGCCAACCTAGCTGTAACGGTACTCAAGTTATTGTGTACACAGACAGAAACTAACATAAAAATACGGACATAATTGCAAAGTCCAGTTTTTCCACTCGATGACGCGCTAAACGATGAGATATTGATAAATCAGGATTTAGAATTTTCGCCCGATTAAAATAAGTCCACTATACTCCGTAGGGCCTATATGATGAAGCATTAAGGTGTAAAACGGTAAAAACAGTCAAAATTTCATGTGATTTTTGTGCAAGATTACAATTCTTCCTCTATAGCCTACTCTGTATACGAGAACGTAAAAACTGGCAAACCTTTTTACGACTTCCGTGACTTATTGATTACTTATTGCACTTGTCTGACCAACCCACGCCCACTCGTCAAAACAACATTCTGTCAAACCCAACGCACAACCCCAATGTTCCGGCTCCCAATCAATCTATCAGTCTGAATAAAAGTACTGCAAACATTTTTTATTATAAAAATAGATTCATCAGTTTCAAAAAATCCGAATTAAGGGTCCTTAACACGATCATAAACAGACAACTAAACTGATACCGGTAGCAAAACTGTGAAAGTGCTGTAAAAGTAATAAAATGCTGAACCATTTTGGGAACTTAGGGCGAATTCAGCACGGATGCTAAATTAACAATTAACATGGAATGTGTTTTGTAATATATATATATATATATATATATATATATATATATATATATATATATATATATATATATATATATATATATATATATATATATATAGATATAGATATATATATATATATACATATTTATTTATTTATTGTCTGTGTCTGTTATATATATATATATATATATATATATATATATATAGAGAGAGAGAGAGAGAGAGAGAGAGAGAGACAGGCAGACATGACAAGGCAGACAGACAGACGAAAACATGAACAGCTGAAAAGACAGTGGTCTACATTATAGAAAAATACATTGATGGAAGATAAATGGAGAATGGGTGGATGGATGGACGACAGACGGCATGACGGTTAGATGGATAGAAGAATGAAAGGATGGACAGAAGGATGGAATCATAAAAGTAAACTCATCACATGTCGTGCTTTTTATTTGCACTGCGGTGTCTTATTATAAGTGATGGAGTAGGGTTTGTTTATATAACGATTTAAAATTATATTATAGTTGCCACGGGTTTTACTCTTTCGCATAACGTAAATAAAAAATGTAATACATGCACATTGCTAAAACATATTAAAAGGATCAATGTCAAAGAACATTTTCGTTTAGATTCCTAGAAAAAGTGGATGCATTTTAATAATTATAGGGTCAAAATACAAATTAATTAAACTGTTTTGTAATTTTCGAAGGGAGGTAATAAATAAATTCAACTCACGCTAACAAAAAATGTGAATGCAAAATCTACGGACCTCGAAGAAGGAATTATTGTTTCATCAATATAATTAGCAAAATGGGAATGCAAATTCTACGGACCTTAATGAGGGAATTATTGTTGCAAGTAGTAATTAGCAAAATGTGAATGCAAATTTATGAGTGTTGTCTTTTGTGTTTGTGTGTTGCGTTTGTGTTTTCGTTTTTGTTTACATTGTGTTTGTTTGCATTGTGTTTGTGTTTTCTTTTGTGTTTCTGTTGCGTTTGTGTTTGTGTTTTCTTTTGTGTTTGTGTTGTGTTTGTGTTAAGTTTGTGTTGTGTTTGTGCTGTGTTTGTGTTGCGTTTGGTTTGTGTTTAGTGTTGTGTTTAGTTTTGTTCTGTTCTGTTCCCAAGTTGGTACATTTAAAAAAGATTTAACATTTATTCTCTTTCTCTCTCTCTCTCTTTATATGTATATGTATATATATATATATATATATATATATATATATATATATATATATATATATATATATATATATATATATATATATATACTAGCTGCATACCCATGCTCCGCCACGGTAAATCATTTTTAAATGTACCAACTTGAGAACAGAACAAAACAAACAAAAACACAAACACAACCATAACACAAACACAACCACAACACAACCACAACACAACCACAACACAACTACAACTCAACCACAACATTAGAATTACCACCGAACAACACGCTTTCCTATGAGTCCGCGCCCAAAGAGAGCCTTTCAGCATTAAAAATTTAAATCACATAAATAGATCCCAGTGGCGTAGCTATGGCGGGTGTCACCCGGTGCGGCACTTAATGGTGTCATTTCCCCCCCCCCCCCCACAGAGGCGTACCGACCCTTCCCGGCGCCCGGGGACACACTTTCGATTTGCACATGCCCCCGCAAATTTTCAATTTGTTTTTCCTACCCATTTTGGCGCCCTCTAAGGTCGGCGCCCGGAGACATATGTACCCCCCCCCCCCTCGCTACGCCTCTGCTATAGAACCCCTAGCTTGTCCGCAAACCGAAAGATAGAATAATAATTAGTAAACAGTACGTCCAGTGTATAAAATAAATTACAGGCAGTATTTAGAATATTCGTGTTTTACTGACCATATTGCACTTTATAAATTCATGCATTTTTTCCAGTACTTTTAAAAATTTACAATAACGTTTCATAACTAAAACTGTTGCGCACCTAATGAACGTGATGACTTTATATAATAATGGGGAATAGTTTATTAAAAATTATAATTAGTAAACAGTACGTTCAGTAAATAAAATAAATAAAAGATAGCCTTTTATCAATCAATATTAGTTATAATATTCCAACAATAATGTACTCTTACACGTCTGCATAATTTGCATTCACATTTTGCCAATTATATTATTCCAACAACAATTCCATCTTGGAGATTTTGCATTCACATTTTTTAAATTACCTCCCTTGGCAAACTTACTAAACAGTTTAATTAGATTTTTCTACCCTACTATTATTATGTCATTAAAATGTATCCACTTTTTCAGGGAAATATAAACGAAAATGATATTTGACGTTGATTCTTTTAATATGTTTTAGCAATGTGCGTGTATTTAATATTTTCTTTATGTTATGCAAAAGAGTAAAAACAGTTACAACTATAAAATAACTTTATGTCGTTATATAAACAAACCCTCCTCTAATATTTGTAATAAGACACTGCGATGCACTGAAAAGCACTGGTGCGATGTTTACTTCCAAAATCTATAGCGATGACAGAAGGAAGGACTGACACACTACCAGCCCGCGTATATATTATATATATATATATATATATATATATATATATATATATATATATATATATATATATATATATATATATATATATATATATATATATATATACTAGCATACCCGTCCCCGTTCGTTACCGCTAGAAGAAAGTCTGACGAAATATGGTAGGAGGGTTAGGAGTCGGCGTGGTCGAGTCGGTAAAGCTCATGGTTGCTAAATTGAAAAGTTTGGAGTTCGAACCATCGGGCAGATGAGGCTCGTTAGCTGGGGACGGCCACTCTCTCTAGGAGAGACAACTCCAAAACCAACCAATTGCTGACTCGTAGTTTTTTCTTGATTTGACAAAGGCTATGGAAGCAAATCCAAAAAGATAAGCAGGCTGAAATCAATGGAGAATAACCGGTTGACAGTGACATGTATACTTAATTGTATTGGGGGGAGGGGGTCCCTTCTAACACTAAAATTAAGAAGAAGAAGAATATTAATGCGTAACCAATCCTATATTCTAAGACGTGTGACATTGTTTTCTAAAACTGTGATGTAATGATCTTATTTATCGGGGCAATGGTTTACCTTTAGTGTACATTAATCACTCGCCGTAATAGTGAGGTAGAACACATTTCAGTGACCGTGACCGCCCAGGTCTCAGGGACGTCGAGGGGCGCTCCGGGTAGCCCCTGATTACACGGCTCCTAGCTCCTTAAAACTAACTTAGGCGCCATGGCGCTCACACGATAACCCAGGGCGCCAAATAGCACCCTGCCGGAGCACCGACGGACGCATTTGATTCAATATAGTGAACGACTTTAACGCCCCCTTTTATCCAAAGTCTATCGCACCCTGTCGTGGCGCCGGGATACGCGCTTGATTATATTTAGTGAACTACTCTAATACCCCATCTTATGCATAGTCTTTTCGCACTGTTACAAAACGAACGTAGGCGCCATAATAACCCGAAGAGGGGGGGGGGGGCAAATTGCACTCTCGCGAGCCTTTAATTACACTACCGCAGGAATGTTGTGCACCGCCTTGTCGTAGACACCATAGTGCTCACAGGATAGCGCATGGCGCTAAATCCAGCCCTGTCGATGTGCCGGCGGACGCGCCTAATTATGTTTAATGATCGACTCTATAAACCATCTTATGCATAGTCTATCGCACTGTTTAAAACTAACGTAGGCGCCATAGCGCTCGCGGGAAAGCCCAAGGCGCCGATTCGCACCATGCAGGGGCGCCGGAGGACGCGCCGGATTCGATATAGTCAACGATTATTGTTTACCTATCAAGACTTTAGTGTATATCCTGATTTTAAAACGAACGTAGGCGCCATGGTGCTCATATGGGAGACCGAGGCGCTTCAGGTCACGCAATAGCCGGGGATACTGCGGCTGCGTCTGTTGCAATCTTTTTCCGCTGAAAATAGTAGTATCCTTTTCCCACTATGCAGGACGCCCAATTAGCGAATACCAACTGCTAAGGTAGCCGCCCTATAACTTTAGGCGCCGAACCGTGTATTGACAAAAAGTGCACCCTCCCTGGTGCCGCCCATAAGAAATTTTGATTTTTTTTTTTCGCAGAAACCTACTTGGGGGTATTCTGATCAAGTACTCAAAGTTTCATTGCTCGGCGACGAACCGCATCTGACTTTCATTTTTTATATACCGTAGGCCCTATATAGAGACAGACAGACGGACGGACGGACGGACGGACGGACGGACGGACGGTCGGACGGACGGACGGAATGACATTGATTTATATATATATATATATATATATATATATATATATATATATATATATATATATATATATATATATATATATATATATATATATATATATATATATATATATATATATATATATGGTTTACCGCCCTCGCAAGTAATTAAAAAAAACAATGTAGGCCTACTTCTACAGCTAACGTTATTCATTTTAAAGGGGTTACTGTAAAAAAAACAGTATCTCGTTTTTTTTTAAAAAAAAACATACATTAATCAGAAAAGGATTACGTTGAAACAAGTTAATATTGACAAAAAATAGTATTTATCTTATTAAATTATAAATGGACTGCTCTCAGTCTCATGTGCTTCAACCGCGTAATATAATTCATAATGCTTTTAATGTTTCTCAGACAAGTGTACGTACCCGCACATATATGTTACTAACGTAATGTATAAATTTGCTTTAATACTTTAATTTATCATTTAATAGTTACATATAGCAGCATTTATTCTTAAACCCATCCATAAAATTGTATCAAAGCTGAGAATGACGAACGAATGTTGAAATTAAAACGTTTGATTTTTTAGTAGTTGTAGATAATGCGTTCGTTTTTTAATTTGAGATGAATATATGGTTTTGATTTAGGTTTGAGTTGAATGTTTTTGGTCGAGGTTATCGTTGTCAGTGGCTAAGCCGAAATATAGACATCATACTGTTCGCAAGCATTCAAGTAACCTTAACTTGTTTCATTTTCAAGAGTCATTAAATATGTAATGAGAGCAGGGTTTTATTTAACGAATATTCGGACAGATTCCTTATTATTTATTTCAAAAGTGCATCTGTGTTTTCGAGTCCATGTTTATTGATGTACATTACAATATATCAAACGATGGGTTTATTGCTAGCAATAGTATTGGAGAAAAATGACGAGAGTTGGCAATAGCAGCGTTTTTTTTTATTGATTTATCCTAACCGATTTTTTTCACTAGACGTTATATTTTAAGCAAACATTCTCCATGCAGCTAGTGTAGTGATACGATATTTTGTTAAAGGTTTGTATTTTATATATATATATATATATATATATATATATATATATATATATATATATATATATATATATATATATATATATATATATATATATATATATATATATATATATATATATATATATATATATACATATAAAGAGAGAGAGAGAGAGAAAGAGAATAAATGTTTGTAGATTTTATTATATATATATATATATATATATATATATATATATATATATATATATATATATATATATATATATATATATATATATATATCATTTTATTCATGTAATATTTGTTGATTTGAAATTAATTTTACAATATTTTTACACTTACCGTACTATAATAAAAATTTACTACTGGAATATAATCCAAACCTGTTATAGATGTAGGCCTATGTGTAATACTACTTTTTGTAACAGTTTTTTTTCTGTTCTAGCTTTTTTATATAGTATATTGAATTAAAGATGGATCGCAGGTACAGTATCCAGCCTTTAATCCGGAAAGACAGTAAGGAAGAAGAGGAAAAAAAAAATTCTTTGTATGATTATGGTAGGCGAGGCAGTGTTTTTCCGAATTTCGGCAAAACAAGAAGCTGGGTAAAACGAACAAATTTAGCGCCCGATCACTGTCGACCTTTTCCTGAAACTCGAAGTTCTTGGGATGAAAGCATGAGAAGACGTGATTCTGATACCGGTTTACGTGGAATAGTTTTAAGAAAAGGTTTTTCAGACGATTCAAAAAATTACTCACTATTTCATTCCGAATGCAGACGTTCTTCAAAAGTAGATTCGACGTATTTTTCTGCTGGCAAACGTTTGTGTAAATGGGAAACTGTTAATCTATTAGGAATAAAAGAACTGTCTACTAAAGAAACAGACGATTCGCTCAACGTCATGAATCCACACGATAACATACACAGTGAAATTGACGCAAAAGTTGAAAGTGAAGAAAATGCTGACCATGGGGAACCTTTATTTGCTTGCACTTCAATTCAAAAATATACTAATCCTAGTAATCTAGAGAAGGTTAACGAAGCTGAAGAGCGTTCAGATTCTAATCTAAGCTTGCGTGATTCTAATGATTGCAGAAATATTGAATTATTAACAGAGCAAGATGAATACAACGAAAACAGAGTATATAGGACAAACCTTTCTCTAGGACAGGTTTCAGACTTCGGAAATAACCACGATAACCTAAAGTTTTGTAATGAATTACCTTATCAATATAAAGACGATTTGATTACTGAAAAATGTGAAATTAGTTTAAATCAAAGACGACCTTCCATTATACCTACTCTGAACATTACTAAAGAGCAAAGCAATTTTGAGAAATTCCTAGATATTATAAATAATCAAAAGTCATCGATAGAAATCGTTGCTAATGATTCATCATGTATATCGCGCACTAAGTCCTGCGAAATTTTAAAAAAGCCAGACAATGAGGCCATGAGCATTTGGGAACGACGAAAAAGAGCAGCAGGAGAGTTTAGCCGAGGAACTAGGCCAATTGTTCTAAATATAGAATCAATTGATGATTCTTTCTTTTGGTCAAGATCTGTCTCTAACACACTAGTAGAGATTTCTAATCTTGGCAGTACTTATATCTGTAAGGATGACATGCATCTTGGAAATGCGCATAAAAATACTATTGTTTCAAGTAGTTTAAGTACTAACACCAGTGCCATAGGCAATGAAAAGCCTGGAAATAGTGGTGGATGCAAGCTAAGAAAACCCACAAATCTGTGGGGTGTAACAAGAAGAATTTCTGTGAAAAGGAAAAAGGTTTTGGAAAAGAAAATAGAAGAGACTGAGACTAAAGAAAATGAAAGGTAATGTGTAAAATAAAAAGTAATGACAAAAGTAAGATCTTTGTGAAGTGAACAAATGCATCTTATATACTTTTGATTGCTTCTATTTTTTCAATTGCTTTATCCTATACAATTTCCTTTCCTTCTATTCCTTCCTTCCCTTCCTTTCTTTCTTCCCTTCCTTTCCTTCCTTTCCTCCCTTTCCTTCCTTTCCTTCCTTTCTTCTTTCCTTTCTTCTTTTCCTTCTTTTCCTTCCCTCCTTCCTTTCTTTCCTTCCTTCTTTCCTTTCTTTCCTTTCTTTCTTCTCTCCTTCCTTTCCTTTCTTACTTTCCTTTTCTTCTTTTCCTTTCTTCTTTTTTTTCTTCCTTTCATTCATTTCCTTCATTTCCCTTTCTTTCTTTCCTTCCCTTCGTTTTTTTCTTCCTTTCCTTCATTTTCTGTCCTTCCCTTCCTTTCTTGATTTCCTTCCTTTCCTTTTCTTCCTTCCCTTCTTTTCCTTCCTTTCTTTCTTTCCTTCCTTTATTTCCTTCCTTTACTTTTCTTTCCTTCCCTTCCCTTCTTTTCCTTTCCTTCTATTCCTTCATATCCCTCCTTTTCTTCCTTTCCTTCCTTTCATTTCCTTCCTTTTGTTCTTTCCTTTTTCCTTTCCTTTTTCCTTTCCTTTCTATCCTTTTCTGTCCTTGCTTTCCTTTCTTTCCTTACTTTCCTTTCTTTCTTTTCTTTCCTTTCTTTCGTTACTTTCCTTCCTTTCTTTTCTTTCCTTTCTTTCCTTACTTTCCTTCCTTCTCTTCAATTACTTTCCTCCATTCCCTTTCATTCATTTCCTTTTCCTTTCATTCCTTTCTTCCCTTCTTTTTATTTAAATTCCTTTCCTTTCTTACCCTCATTCCTTTTCCTTCCTCCCTTCTCTCCCTTTGCCCCCCCCCCCACCCGTCCTTCCAGCAGACAATTAATATTGAATAATTTGCGCCTAAATTGTTGTCCGTTAAAGGTTAGCAAAAGTAAATTTGATAGGTTTTTCAACATTCTAATTCTAAACAGCAGCAGTTTAACGTTATAACTCGTTAAGTTTGTGTGTCCTGCATTTGTATCGTGCTTACTATTGTAACCGTATTGTAATGTTATTGTACTATAATGTTTATCAGCTAATCAATTAAGTACACATTTTTGTATATATATATAGAGAGAGAGAGAGATATAAAGTGAGTAGGAATGATTTTTTATGCCAGCGCAATTAACTGTGTTGAAGATGTTAATATATATATATATATATATATATATATATATATATATATATATATATATATATATATATATATATATATATATATATATATATATATATATATATATATATATATACAATATTTATACAATGCAATAGAAATGTTTTTAATATTTACACCATTTTCAATTGCCCTGACAGGGTAATTCGAAAGTATATTTTAGGCTTTATAAGCACGAATAATGATTTTTTATTACAATTTGAATTTATACATGCTATGAAATTATTATGACGGTATCTTTATTCATACAGAATTACTTTTTACATAATGTAATTGGCCTTTAAATCCACATTATCAGCTTTATTGTTACCAAAATAAATTTAGAATGTTTACATTACGCTGTATTGATGCCACAACAGGGGTATCGATTTTTTTCTCTCACTGAGCGGGGCTTAGTAATTATGTTTTGTCTTGCTCTTTTAATGTCATCTATAGAACTATGCTGGTAAGGTGGGGTTTTTTTTAAAAATATTATTATCATGATTAGTTCCCATATTTCTAAACTATAAATTTTTTACCATGAATGTCCTAATATTTCTGAACGTGTTCGTGATATTTCTAACAACAATAGTTGAACAAAACATATTTAAAGCAAAATCGCAAAACATTGAGTAAAATATTGCAAATATTTTTTGTTAAACAAAAGGAATAACGTTACGTTTGTGTTTTATGAAATAGGAAAAACTGAAAAAAAAAATTTAAAATTAAGAATCACCATTAAAGTAAACGGGTATGCGTGTAAGTCAGGGGTCATCCATAGACGCTTTTACAACAAATTTTACCTTTACCCCTTTCCGTCCTCTGTCACTTTAGCCTACCATCATCACCCCCACAAAATATAAATTCTAAATTCTTCTAAAATTTTCAGTCAGCACGGTAAACATTGAGTATACTGGTTATTTTTTATTAAATTTACGAAAAGTATTTTAGAAACGTGAAATAAATTCAGCTTCTTATGTAACTTTTCAAAATGTAAAGGTTCATAGTCACCGTATGCCATAAGGAAGAACGGAAGGGAGGGGGTGTACCAAACGGGGTTTTAAAAAAATAAAAGGCATAAAAAAAGTTGCATTACTGAGTTACACACTAAAAAACTGATACACGGCTCTTTACCAAAATTAAAACTGTAAAGAGACATTGATAGTTAAAAACTCCTTCAACTTTTTGGAATTGGTGAGAGGATGTCGCTTTTGCTAACGTGGACATTACTCTCAGATGAACGGTGTCGAACCGCATCTGACTTTCATTTTTTATATACCATATATAGAGAAATATAAATGAGGCACTCTAAGTTCCTCCGGCGCCTCTTCACCAAACGTCACAAAAGTTTGGACCCCTAATCCCCCCCCCCCCTCCACCCCACCCCCCTCATTTTGACGTCGCTTAAAGACGGCCTCTTAATTCATAAAATACTCAAACAAAACTGATCTAGATAATATGCTTAAGGAGGTCATATCGTTTAAGAATGAGTTAATTATGCTAGTGGATTTTTTAGTGAGAAGACCCGCGGCGTGTCATACGCCGCTATTTAGTTATTTAGTTGTTTTATTTTCTACTTTTCAGTAATTCATAATTTGTGAATTCGACAGTAACACTGCTGTCACTAAAAATATTTGCTTTAAAACACTATCAGTTAGTCGTTAAGGGCGATAAACCCCCCTCCCCTCCTTTCCCCCAACCCCTAACCCCCCCCCCCCCCGTGAAAGCAGCCTCCTCTTAGCTACCTCCCCTAAGTTTAAAATTGTTTCAAACTAAATTATCTGCCCCTAATAGCCGTCACTAAACCCGGCTCTACGATTGTAAACATTTAGCGTGAACCCCAGCTCACCAGACTTCCTAGAGATGAAGAGAGGGGACTGCAAGACGCGCTTACAGCTTGTTTTATATAGATTCATAATACAGGAAAAGAACATATATCTACGTTCAATCTAAAACATCTGCCAAAACGATGGTGTCGCGAGTTTCTTCTATTTTTGTCAGTAATAAGGTTACGGTAAATGTGAGATTGTAATTACGACTACAATAATAGTGAAAGCTACAGTTAAGCTACTGCTAGTGTTAATGTTAATGTTAGTTGTAGCTCTGGTTTTAGTTTTACATGTAGGCCTAGTTGTGTTTAGAGTTAGAGCTTCAGTTAGAGATATTAGTTTTAGTTGTTATTTTGTTGTGTTATATATATATATATATATATATATATATATATATATATATATATATATATATATATATATATATATATATATATATATATATATATATATATATATATATATATATATATATATATATATATATTTTAATTTTATATATGTAACGTTGCTTGTTAGTATTTAGCCTTCTGTTTTTCATGTTGTAGTTTGGTCGTTTGATTTTAATTTAATTTTTTTACATTATTTTTAGTGCTTATAGGTGGAACCGCAACAGCACCTGTAATGTCGCCTTTATGGGGTTTTTTTATATTTTTATTTTTTTGTTGCTGCTTTTTTGTAATTAAATGTTTATTAATGTATCATTTTGTCTTATTTTGCTTATAGCTATGAGAAAACCAGTTTTTTTGGTTGAATATTCAACTTAATTTACCCGAGGACTCATTACGTCATCTGATGTTGTTGGTTTTGCTTTAGTTTTTGTTCTTTTGTTTGTCTATCACCTACTGTGGATTAATTTTCAAAGCAAATTCAGATATTGGGTTATATAGATGAGTTTGTATTAATTTATTTCATCTTTTGGTAGCTTCGATGTTGAGAATGGACCAAGCATTCAAAGCCGATCTCCATTGGATGGCGGCAGCCCTTCGTCAGCACTTGTACTTCAGAATCTTCCACAACGCCGTGAATCGTTTCTTTACCGTTCAGATAGTGATTATGAATTGTCTCCTAAATCAATGTCAAGACATTCATCGATGCAGAGTGAGGCAACCCAGTAAGCGAACATCTATAAGTTAATAGGCCTACATCTTCAGTTCAATTAATTTATTTACAGAATTTGGTGTACACGAGTTTAAAAAAAAAATTTCCCTGTACCTCTAAAAAAAGTTTGAGAAGACCCTAACTAATATTTTTAAAAATTCCATCTTTATTTTTTTTTAGTTGGAAAATATGCGGTGCAGAAGAACTGTATATTTTTGTTTTGTAAAATGATTTTATGACGGGTTTCATTTATCGCCGGCCGTTTTGTTGGGGATGTTTTTGTCGGGGCTGTTATTTAGTCTACGTTTTTCTTCAATAACTATAATAATTTAATAATACCGTTTAATTTAAAAATGTCTAAATTTAACACGGTGGTAGATGACTGTTTTATTTAGAGATTGCAGGGTACAGTGATCGAGTTTTAACGCAAATATTTTTGTCGTAGCTTATGTGGTGTCAAATTAATTTAATATATTGTATAAAGTGGAAAATACAACAAATATGATTAATCTTGATATTAAGAAAATAAAACTCACTTTATTTAATAAAAGCTAAGATATATATTATATATGAGATCTCAAAAGCGCCAATTGCTGTATTGAAAATAAAGTGGGAGTGATCTTCTTTAAACTTTCTCGAATATTCTTATATAACACTACTGGGGTGACAACGGAATTTTTAATTCATTTTTAATTACTTAAATTGTTTAAAACTGAATAGAATCTCGTAGAAAAAGAATTGCGCATCAAGTGAACTGCAAACAATATGTATATAATAATGTGCCACTTACAGTTACCGGAAATCGCTGATAACTTGGTACAGAACTACACATTTAAATAATACATATATCAAATTTTATCAACCTAGCTGTAACGGTACTCAAGTACTCAAGTTATCGTGTTGACTGACATACACACATATACACACACACATACATACACACAGACATACTGACAAAATTGCAAAACTATGTTTTTCCGACTCATGGTGGTGTAAAACGTCGAGATTTGTGAAAATACTATGTATATTTGAAAGTAAAAAGCAAGTTTATTTTATTTTATTTTCTTATTTTCATAACTTATTCGTTTTTTTATTAAGGTTATTTATATTTGTTTTATGTAAATGTATTTTCTTTGTTTTTTATCAGGCACGCTGAAGACTTAATTGTGACACCTTTTGCTCAAATTCTTGCCAGCCTTTGTGAGGGCAAATTACATAAATTTAACAAATGTTCCGAACAAAGAAAGGTATTTAAAACAAAAATATATTATTTTATTGGATATGATATGATATTCGATAATAATTTTTTTTTTACAAATGTAATGGTACTTCAGACAATACAATGGTGATTTATAAATATATATATAAAGGCCGGCCAATGCGCGCATTGGCTAATATTGCCTCTCATTGACCAGGATGGAAATGGCTCTTGAAATGGCTCATGATTTCGGCCTTTGGCCTAATTAGAAGATCATCTGGCTAGGGACCAATTAGAAGATCATGAGCAGATTTAAGGTTGTTTCATACCGTAAGGATCACGAAATTTAGTCTTTATTGATTATTAATTAAAGTAAATAACAGAAACATTCAAATTATTTTATTGCACTAAACTCTCAATCAATATTATCACTTGTTACAACGTTGAACATTTATGGCATTTAGAATTACATCGTTTGACATCGTTGCCACGGGATCCACAAGAATGGGCATCACTACAACATTTTTCACAAATTACACATTATCTATTGACCATATTATTGTCACGCAACTGGTCTGGATGTTCCGCCACGGCATCATTTGTTAGCTTATAAATGCAACCTCCATTTCTTGTTCAATGTTCTCAATATCTTCCTCAGTAACTAAATTATCGAAAGCCTCTCTTGGTAGATTTGAAGTGCTAGGTCCCACTTTTTTTTGCATCCGAACAAGACTTCATATTCCTTGATGAAAAAAACCTTGGATTTCCGTAAACTAGTTTAAGTTCAGGCCACATGTTCTTTAATTCAGAAAAAACTTGATTCACAAATTCTCTTCCATTAGGATTTGGATTATTTATTTTGGCAGCCATCTGGTATGTCTGTCACTTGGTCTGACGGCCCTTTTGGTCCATGTCGCAGTTCATATAGAATGCCATACAAACAATACGTTACTCACACTGAAACCGCACTCAAAATAATGAAAACGCGATTACAACTTAGTCTATAGAACATCCCATGCCAGTGAGCGCATTGGCTGGCCAATATATGAAATACTTTGTCAATTTTAAACTTTTCGGACTTTGGCCATCTCGTCCCGGCCAGTTGCGCACATTGTCCGGCCAATGTAGGAAATACGCTGTAAGTTAAAGGTCTTCGGACTTTAGCCAGTTTGACCCGGCATTGGCTGGCCAATCTACAAAATACGCTCTTAGTGCTAAGCTCTTCGGGCTTTGGCCAAGAGAGCCGGTCAATGCGCACATTGGCCTGCCAATGCGGGCTTTGGCCACACTTTGACCGCAACATATATATGAAGACCAAACGGGCTTAAACCATAGATTTCCACTTAAATATTTTTTTTTTAGCTTTCGTCGTTTTTGTGCAGTACAAAAGACAGTTCATATCGCTCTTGTATATGGATATGGAATTAAAAACCCAGCTCAATTCTGCAAGATTAAGTTTTTTAAAAACATTCTTTTTTTATGTGGTTTAACCAGGTAACAAAATGAATACATATACATATCAAATTGAATTTTCATTAAAAAAACTAATCTTAATAAAAATGTAACACAGTCTGCAAATACTAAATTACGTTTTTTGTTGTTTAGCCAAATGTGACCTTCATATATGTATATATATATATATATATATATATATATATATATATATATATATATATATAATATATATATATATATATATATATATATATATGTATATATATATATATATATATATATATATATGTATATATATATATATATATATATATATATATATATATATATATATATATATATATATATATATATGTATATATATATATATATATATATATATATATATATATATATATATATATATATATATATATATATATATATATATATATATATATATATATAAATTTTCAAAGACCACGCCGTGGATCATCCGAAAGACATCCGCATGGACTTTTAAATTCACAAAACTTGATTTCGCCACAGCAACTCTCTCCAGGATCGAATAAAGCTTCAGGTAGTGGTGTGTTTTTTTTAATTACAAGGTAATGTCACGTAATGTACTTCACGTTACGTTTTGCAAATGTGCTGATGAAATGTGTTTTTTTTTTTAAATTTAAGTGTGCGAGTACGAATAGTTTAAGATGTTGAGTCTTTTGTTCTGAGGTTCTGTTGATTGTTTTCATTTCAACCTTATGCCCTATCATTAGATATTCTTATAATTTCTAGAAAAATGTGTGAACTTTTAAGCAATTGCCATTAATTTAAAATTCAGCAGTTATATTTTGACTACAACGCCAAATTTATTTTAAGCAGCCGAGGAAATTATTTTGCAAAAAATAACAGAAATATTCTGGCTTCAGAAAAGACTACTGAATATAAATATTTGTTTGCATATTCGTGTAGGGTAAGGTGGGGTAATTCCACACACGGGGTAATTCCACACACTATATACTGGATACTCTCTATTTTTAATGAGAGTTTAGTTTAATTAAAAGTTACTATTCCCCGTTTCTAAGAGGTCATTTCTTGTACTTTCTGATACTGTTAGAGAAGCGTTCACCTACATTCAGAGCAAGAATTTTAATTTTATCTGCATCTATCTTCAAAATCCTTAGGTAAGTACAACCCCTGCACTTTTTAAAAATATTTTTTTTGTCTTATTTTTAATTGTTGTCAATTATTTATTGAATATATGAAAGCTTAATCATTTTTGTTAATAGTAACAGTTAATGATGCTAGATTCAGCCTTTAATTTAGAACAGGAATTATACTAGATCTAGTACTATTTATTTTTTAAAAAGACTCTGCTATTAAAGTTAAGTAAAATTACCACATACTTCTTTTATTTCTTTATCTATTATTATTTTACTGTACCTATATTATTATAATTTATGCAATATTTAGAGCTAAACATCCCCATACACACATTAGTAATTAGACTTTCTAACATTTAATTTTGTATTTATTTCAGAATGGTCCACAATTATAAACGAATAACTTCGGCCTATGACAGATGAGAGTAGAATTCAGGAGGAAGAAATTGAGACTTTCTCCTCACCCAGTGATGAAGACTGGTTGCCCCCATGCAAAATTGTTTCCAAGGGGAAACATGTTTTTTACACATTTTTAAATACATGAATTTTAAAATTTTCATAATGTGTGTGGAATTGCCCCACTTGCCATGTTTTTGCAATAAAAGTGAAATATTTAAAAATTGTTTTTATTTTGTGAATTATCTTTATATTTGTTTGCCATCATATAAGTAATGCATGTCTAGTTTTACCCTCATTATTATATTGTGGTAGTGTTGATTTTAGATTTTTTACAAATTTTTTAGAAAAGTAGTGTATGGAATTACCCCGGGTTACCCTACATATAAATGGGTGTGTTTACTTTGTAAATGCATGTAGCTTATTGTTTATATATATATATATATATATATATATTATATATATATATATTTATATATATATATATATATATATATATATATATATATATATCATATATATATATATATATATATATATATATATATATATATATATATATATATATATATATATATATATATATATATATATATATATATATATATATATATATATATATATATACAGAAGATACGTACATGAAACTTGCAATAGAGACTCTTGAAGACTGGATTGGTGTATGGAACAATTGGAAACCATTCAAACTCATCGATCAGTTAGTGATATGGCGTCTAGTAAGGTATTTCAAAACTATTCAGCTATTGATTTTCACTTATATATTGCTAGAAAAATTACTACGTATGTTCACTTTTAATCCATGTTTGTTTGCATTTTTTAAACCCTTCATCTGATAACCTCCTCTTTTCAAAAAGAATTCACTACATCACCGTTTTAACAGTTTTAAAAAGCTGTTTTTAAAAAAAAAGTATCGAAAAAAGTGTTTTAATCATGGTTTTCTTTTCAGCGATAAATTCAACCCCCCCCCCCTCCCGGAAATTTTACTTAAACACCCCCTTTCCGAAATTTAAAGTGCCTCCTCTGTTTTAAAGAGTACTTAGGCCAATCATTTAGCTTGGGAATTAACATTTTTAACAATTATTTACATTTAAATAGAAATTTCTTACCAGGCGCATATTCAAAGATTTGATTCATCATAACACTTTCAAATACTGACAGAATCATTATTTATATTATGCTTTTTAAAAAAGCTGTAACCATGATATAATTTAACAAAGCTATAATAAATGCGTAGTTCAAATACGAAAAGAACTGCATATTTTGGCAGCTCTCAACGTTGTTTCTCAAAAGCCGATAATTTCATTTAAGAAATTAAGAAATTAAGAAATTTTATTTACAAGACACAGGTTTAGAACAAATTCCACTGACGAAATCGGTAACTTATTTTAATGAGAAAAGACAACTTAGATTTGTAGTATTATTTTTCCGGTTTCAAATAACTTGAGTACTGTTCAATTTAAGTAAATGAAATTTTGCACCTTAACTTTATTTCAGATTTTGAAAAACTTTAGAATTTGACAAATTTAGAAAAAATGAGCGTTTTTGTAGTATTGAGAAAGAAAATGATAGTGTCAAATAGCTCTTACCTCAGAGTAATCTACTACATTTATACTTAAATAATTTTTATTAAACAGTTTAAAAGAATGCTGAACAGAGAACTAAGTCACTTTGCTGAGTCAAGCAAATCAGGAAATCAGATTGCTGAATACATCTGTAGTACTTATTTAGGTAAATGTGATGTCATTTTAATTGTCGATGGTAAAATTTGTTTTAAAATGTTTGGTTAATTTTGTTTTATTTTAAATCCACCAGATAAGCAACAAGAACTAGATATACCATCTTTAAAAGTGGAACATATTGATCACGGAATAAAGGCTACAGATAAAACACGGCCAATGTGTTCAGATATCAGGCCTTCGAAAACTAACGCCACGCAAACAGTTTCACGGGAATGATACCTGCTCACGGAGTTGAAACACCATACAAAGACGATCTTTCAAAAGTAGTTTTGATAAATAATGAATCTAAAATTTAAATACTGTTTAAATTCCCTGTATGTACCGAAAGAAAAAATATTTCTACCTTTACATGAATGTACATTCTTCTTCTTTATAGGTTCTCAACCAAATTAATAAGTGGGGTGTAGATATTTTTAAAATCAACGAATACTCAAACAACAGACCTCTTACTTGTGTAACTTACACAATATTTCAGGTATTCATTTGACTATGAGTACATTAGCCACGGTAATTTTTTTATCAATTAGAATATTTAAAAAGAACAAGAAAATGTTGTTTTTTTCTAAATAGGAACGTGAACTGTTAAAGACATTTAAAATATCATCACATACTTTTGTAACGTATATGATGCACGTTGAAGATCATTATCATCGAGATACACCTTATCACAATGCTATCCATGCTGCTGACGTTACACAATCGACACATGTTCTACTTTCAGCAACAGCCCTTGAGGCAAGTAGAGACTATATATTTAGCTATAAAGATAATTATAAACGTTTTCTTCATTAAATTTTTGTCTTGTTTTGCAGAATGTTTTTACAGATCTTGAAATTTTAGCAGCAATATTTTCGTGTGCAATTCATGATGTTGATCACCCTGGTCTGACTAATCAGTATCTTGTAAATACTAGTAAGTTAAAAGCTATTTTTTAGAAGAAAAAAACTTATGTCATGCTAAAAACTTATTTAAAGGCCAGTTACAATAAAATATTTTATTACAATTAATCAACACTTTAATGGACTCTTTGTTTTGTGAATTTAAATTGCAAATTTAAATTTAAAGCAATTTACATTTTTGTTAGGTTCAGAACTTGCGCTTATGTACAACGATGAGTCTGTTCTTGAAAATCACCATTTAGCTGTAGCTTTTAAGCTATTACAAGAAGAAAACTGTGATATTCTTGCAAACTTAAGCAACAAACAAAGACAATCATTTCGTAAAATGGTCATTGATATGGTAAGGCATTTTCTATTCGCTATAAAAAAATTGGAAAATGTTTATCTACCATGATGAGCCTAATTTAATTTGCTATTACCAATTCAAAATGTACATTAGCAAGAAATTGACAATCTATTTTTTTAATATAAGAGGCAGCTTAGGGTAGCCCTGAATTATAATTTTATAGAAATGGTAGCTTTATAATTTATGAGATAGAAAAAACGTTAATTCGAAACATAATACCCAAAGTTATATTAGCAATAAGAAAATAAGGTACTTGTATGTTCTTAGCAGCTGCTTTAAAACCTCAATCAATTTATATTATAGGTTTTGGCTACAGATATGTCAAAACACATGACTCTCTTAGCTGATTTAAAGACAATGGTTGAAACTAAGAAAGTTGCTGGATCGGGAGTTTTATTATTAGACAACTACCAGGATAGAATTCAAGTATTGGAATTTATTTTTAAATTTTAAACTTTCAAAAATAATACCCAAAATTTAACATTGAATGTTTAAAATGAATGGAGGTTCTTAAATTTACAAAATTATTTCAGGTACTGCAAAATATGGTGCACTGTTCTGACCTCAGCAATCCTACGAAACCATTAGAAATATATAAAACATGGGTGGATAGAGTAATGGCTGAATTCTTTCGCCAAGGAGATATGGAACGACAAATGGGTCTTGATATAAGTCCAATGTGTGACAGACAAATAGCTACTGTGGAAAAATCACAAGTAAGTTTAGTGAAAACAAAAATTCAATCAGAAATGTAAAAAGAATATTTATTATTTTCTTTTGATTCCAGGTGGGATTTATTGATTATATTGTTCATCCTTTGTGGGAGACTTGGGCAGACCTTGTTTATCCTGATGCACAAGAAATCATTGAAACACTAGAAGACAATAGAGATTGGTATCATGCAACTATTCCTATTTCTCCATCTTCAAGTTTCTGTAGTAAAATAGAAGAGGGCGACAAATTCCGTTACAGCGTAGAAGAAGAAGGTGAAACGCAGAGCCAAAGTAGCGCTGAAAGCGAACAGTCCGTTATTCGAGTACAAGCAGATTCTCCCATTATTTTAAAAAAAAATTTGTTTGAACAATCCCACACAACTACGAATATTGATTCTATGAATGTGCCGCCTCTTTCAACATCATCCTCTTCAGACCAAAATCTCAGTTAAAAAACTATGGAGGTACTAACATATTTAATCATGAGTGGTGAAAAATACACTGTCAATGATATTATATATTATATTTGTAATTTGAAATCTTGCAAATTCTTACTGTGATATATAATATATATATATATATATATATATATATATATATATATATATATATATATATATATATATATACGTTTATAAGGTATTGTTATAATTGTAAATGACAAAATATAACTTTAAAAATTATCAGCTTTTATCTCGCTAATAAGTCGTGATTTTCCAATAAAACCTTTTGTAGACACAAATACAATTTTACGAAATGTTTAATTTTTGTTTCCTTAATAATTGTATTTTAACTACTAATTTTGTTTTTAAATAAATTATTTCTGTCCTATTAACTTTGAAGTTATGACTACTAATAAGTAACAACGACTAAAACTTTTTCAATAACCCCAAAAATAAATTACTAATGCAATCCAATCAAACAATTAATAAAACTTCAACCGCCTTAGAACTAAATTACGCTGTTAAGTACTGAAACAATAGATCTCATTAGCTTATAAATAATGATTGTTACTTAACACTGTAATGTAATCATAGAAAATAAACACATAAAGACTGACATAAAGACTGTGTACTTGCAAATTGTTGTATTCCTAAACTATGATTGTTAAATAAAAATCACCATCACAAAATTACTTTACTTTATAAATCTACATATGTCTTTCTGTCTGTCTGTCTGTCTGTCTGTCTGTCTGTCTGTCTGTCTGTCTGTCTGTCTGTCTGTCTGTCTGTCTGTCTGTCTGTCTGTCTGTCTGTCTGTCTGTCTGTCTGTCTGTCTGTCTGTCTGTCTGTCTGTCTGTCTGTCTGTCTGTCTGTCTGTCTGTCTGTCTGTCTGTCTGTCTGTCTGTCTGTCTGTCTGTCTGTCTGTCTGTCTGTCTGTCTGTCTGTCTGTCTGTCTGTCTGTCTGTCTGTCTGTCTGTCTGTCTGTCTGTCTGTCTGTCTGTCTGTCTGTCTGTCTGTCTGTCTGTCTGTCTGTCTGTCTGTCTGTCTGTCTGTCTGTCTGTCTGTCTGTCTGTCTGTCTGTCTGTCTGTCTGTCTGTCTGTCTGTCTGTCTGTCTGTCTGTCTGTCTGTCTGTCTGTCTGTCTGTCTGTCTGTCTGTCTGTCTGTCTGTATATCTGTCTATATGTCTGTCTGTATGTCTGTCTGTATGTCTGTCTGTCATCCGATTGGCATGAAACTTTGGGAAATTGTTGAGGTATATTGTGGAAAAAATATTTCTAATTCTCAGGTATTCGATTCCTATCTATATCCAGTATATAAAATTAAAAACGATATGCGGATTCAAATCGTTCATCTGATCGCCTCCAGGGGAGTTTTCTGCATAAGTCTTTTTTTTTCATTTCGAAAAACGCTGTTTCTCTACATACGGTCATCGAGCAATGAAACTTTGGGTACTTGATCAGAATACCCCCGAGTAGGTTTCTGCGGAAAAAAAAATTCATACGATTGCCATGAAACTGCTTTTCTCAATATACGGTACCTAAAAATAAAAGTTGAATGCAGTCTGACACCCTTTTGTAGGAAGGAGTTCAGACTTTTTTGATTGATGGGAATCGGTGATCAGAAAGTGTAACGCATTTTTTTGCAAATTTATGATAGAAAAGACTGCTGATTGTATTAATTCACTGATTAACTAAATGTTTATTACATTATTATAGAAAGGAATCTTTAAAACAGAAAATGCAGAAGGCGAATGGGGTTATATGTTGAGGTATGTTTTTTTTTTAAAGGGAGGGTGAGGGGTGGGGGGGGGGGGGAAGTGGCTTTTTTTTTGAAAATGTGTTACAATTAGAGAAGGGTGGTTGGGTGCAAAATCGTCTGAAGAGTGAGTCGTCGTTGATGATTTTATATTGACTTCGCCATTATTGCGGACGTGTGGAAATTATATGACGATTTGTAACGAAATAGTGTTAACCAAATTTACTAAACAGATTATGAGTTTATAGGCCTATACCAACTGGTATACTAAACCTTAGCAATGAGAAACAAAACATAAATATTTTGAAGAATATCTAATATTCGGCTTTACTGACATCACTGGAAATGGAATAGAGAAGAAGCAATGCGTACTGTTCAGTTGTTCTCAGTCATGAGTCTATGAAATCTTCAAAACTAAAACGTCATTTGAGACGAGTCATTCGGAACACACCAAAAAAGATAAGGAGTTCTTTCGTCCTCGTGAAGCTAATTGCAAACCTCAGAGATTTGTTTAAACAGGCAGTTTTCACTAAGGAAACACCAAGCAAAAAAAAAATTTAAACAATTTAAATTTAAAAAAAAACACAATAGGAGAAAATCTCATCATATCCTGCATGTTAAAGATGGTGAATTTACATTTTGAGGACTCCAGTGCAGTAATGATGCAACAAATATCTCAGCCTAATAATACTATTCAGCGGCTTACAGCAGACACGTCCGTAGATGTTAAATAACACATTTTTAATTAACTCAAGCTGTCACCATGATAAATCAACAGACGTAAAATTCAATATTCGCAGATGCTTGTCTTTTTCTATATTCATTCAGATGATAGCAAAGAAGAGTTGCTATTTTGTGAAGATAGCATGGAGAAAATAAATACTTTTTTTTTAAACGGGATGATTAAAATGGGTTAAAACGGCTGTGGCAGCGTCATCTCTGTTTAGGTCAAAATCGGGCTTTCAGAAAACAGAAAAGTTATTCATCAGTATCAAGACTCCATTGCTAGTAAAAGTCGTAAATTAAATTTAATCCGGAGCCTTAAAAAAACTGAGCAACGACATTAATATAGATAAATCTAGAACACGAGGGTCTGCTTTTTCTACACTACAGTACGCTGGCTGTCAAACGAAAAGTTGTGAATCGTGTTTTTGAATTGAAATCTGAAATCAAGTTATTCTTGGAAGTGCAAAAGAAAACAAGATCTTTTGGTATAGGCCCTACTTAAAACGACATACCTAGCAGATATATTCGAACATCAACATACGCTTAACCTGAAGCTTCAAGGAAAATTAACGAATATTATCACATAATCTCGAGGCATTTTTATCAAACCTGCAAAATTGGCGAAGAAAAAAAAATCTTGGAAATATTGAAAATTTAAGAAACTATGCAGTGTGGTAGATGAATCTGATTGACGCATTACCCATTCTCTACTTCCCTTGATGAATTGCAAGATGAATTCTTTGATTTGCAGAATGATTCCACCATTCATACCCATACGTAAAATTGATTGACTTTTCTAAAATAGATTATATTTTCTTTCAATACATTGTAGATCGTGTTACATTTTATTGCCTCGACATACGAGATTTTTAAAATACGAGCATAATATTTTGCTTTGAGGCGAGTAAAATTTGAGATATCATGTGGCTTTTAGTTTCACAACTGATTATTGATTGCAGCTGTTTAATTTTAATAATACTTGTCTTCTGTTATATTTACAATATTATGAAAGAAAGAAACTAATTTGCTAAACTAGTTTTATTTTAAAAACTAAAATTTAGGAAACTAAAAAAGGAGAGAAAAGCTGTCACGAAAATTAACCCCTGAACGCCGACTGTTGCGTTTTCGTTACATACCGATTTAGCGCATAGCATATGCGCATAGGTACATTTATTCTACTCCTGCCGGTCGTTGTGTCTTGACAGTCTTGGGTACATCAAGACGGTTGTATCTGTACCAATGTTTACTTTCTCAAGTTGGAATTTATAACACACTCTCTTGACTCACGCGCAACGTAATTTTTTTACTTCTTGAATTCAGCCTTTTTACATCGATTATTATTACTAAATTCACTCTTTTATGTATATCAACAGTATAAATCACATAAGAACAATTTTTCGCGACATCCGGCAATGTCATAAATTGGTACTTGGGTGCCAAGCAGGTCATTTAAGTATAATCATAAATAAGTAAAGGATTTACAATATGATCTTAGGCACTTTAGAAAGTTACGGTTTGCGTATGGGGAGTGCGATGCTGGAATAATGTGATCATGTTGCTGTGTAGGATATAACGAATTTAGCTTTTAAATAGCATAAGAAGAACAAAAAATAAGTGGACAACAGGAATTGAGATGGTGGACCAGTATCCTGAATACAACTAAAGAAAGGACCAGTGACCTTTACAATAATAACTACAGTACGGTTGAATACTGACAAAAATACACTGTAGGGCTATTGAATGCCCACATTAGCGGCTTAATACTTAGGTATCGATTACCAACAGCTCCAGCGCTGAGTACCCACAGTAGTGACATCAAGAACCAACTGCAGTACCCTCAGCTTCAGCACTCAGTACACTTGGCTTCAAAACTCAGTACCCACTATTGCATCACTGAGTACTCATACCATTGCAATTTGTATCTACAGCAGTGTCATTGGTAATCATTCGAGCTCAACAGCCGCAGCACGAAGAACCGAAATCGGAAACAGGGTACGATCAACAATAGCGGTGACTACACACAGCAGTCAGGACAGTATTTTCAGACTTTTTTTTTCAGGCCAACTTATTTACTATTTATTACTCTAGATTTCTAATGATACTAAAAGAAATTCTCTAGTCAATGTAGATTTCTAGAGTTAAATGTAAATCTAAATGTAAATCTAGATCTAGTAGATTTAACCTACCTATGGTTTAGGCTCTTTATTTTAAAACTAGGCTACAGATTATATTCATCAAAAACATTTTTTAATTATTATATTCAGACAACCATGGTTGTCCTACCATTCATTTTGTAACAATATGTCCTATAGAAAATATCGATGGCAAACCCGCATCTCCAAACTGTAAATTTTTTTCAGCGGAGACTCTTTCACTCTAATTAAAAATTCTTTTATATGCAAAGAAATTACCGACTATACTATGGCTTATTGAAATGTGTTAATATTTACAAAATTATAGCAGGCATAATGTAAGTTGTTTTTCTTATTTTATTAAAATTCGCTTGTTATTTTTTCGCGCACATCTTGTTTTCATTTTGGAGTACATCAAATCCAGCACATATCTCATCTGTCCGTATCATGACGCTGTGTGTAATTAGTATAGTCGCCGACATTTCTGCAAGCCCTACGTGCTATTACTTATTTCTTTTAATTTTTAAATAAATGTCTTTTAAAATAATAACTTGACTATCCCTGATTTATTGTAACAGTAAAAAAAAAGTACATTGCTTAGATATGTCCATCGAAGTTGCATCTACAATATACTTGTTTTTTTTTTTTACTATAGTGTATTTTAGTTGACCTTTTATTTTGTTTTTATTTTTTAAACCCAAAGAATCTTTTTGGATCAGGATTATGCAATTACATTATTACTTATTTTTGGTAACGCCAAATAAATGGCTTATTCCGTAAACTGTGTTTACCTGTTAAAGATAAAAATTACAATCTTGCTGGCAAACTGAATAACTTCAATATAAAAACAAAATAAAGCAAAATTTATTATTAATAATAATTTATCATTAAAAATTCGTTTTCTAACATAGCCTTTTTTATAATGCAAAAGGGTGACGTCGCACCATCTGAACCCCCCCTCCCCCTCATCACAAACCGTCACCAAATTACGGACCCCCTCCCCCCTAA